TTTCCACCGTTGTTTAACATTGTCCTCCATCATGCACCTATTAGTCAACTTTTGATCCAGAGCCACCATTGAGTTCGCTCTGAATATAACTGCATGTTCATGGAGGGCATCATTGTACCGATTTAAGTCTTTTTTTAAAAAAAGATAACTGGCTGCCCAACTCCACAAAATAAACTATGGGGAATGTTGATTTTTGTCTCTTGATTATCATTTTTACGACAAAGCACTATATTTAGAGCCCTGCACAGCAAGAAATAAAGTGGTCAGTATTAGCCACAGTGCTCATCAGGAGGTGTGTGCGTGTGCGGGAATCGCCTGAATGACTGCATCTCTAAAATGGCATATTCCCTTTCCTGGTTCTTGATTGCTCAACCGCTTTCTCTTCATTAATCTTATCAGACGCATTTATTGCAAACTTGTGTATTCGTTGGCGACTTGAATCGAATTGTTGGGCATACTTTATGGGATTCACATAATCAATGTCTATCGGAAAGTTGGAATGGATCATGACATCGTTTACTATAAAGTATCATAATTATATCGGCACTGCCATACCATATATCGTATTACCTTGGTAACTAAAGTGACATACTGATTGTGCTAATGGCAATTCCATCCATTTGCCTTTGCAACCCGATCTGTGCTCACGGAAGTACCGCGTGCTGGCGTTGGAAGGGTTGGTAACGAAAGGGGTCAACGACAATCCATTTTTTATATAGCGGGGTAGGATAGGGACCAGATGTTAGAATATATTGGTCTATGTACCTGGACGGTGGCTGTATTTTAAGGTAACCTCAACGTCGCCACCGGAACCCTCGTAGTGGGCCACATCAAAGATGGTCACCACGGCGGATGCCAATGGAGCCTCAGAGCCTACTGCGAATCGTCACAAACGGAAGTCATCGTCGCGACAGACGGGGTAGTTGGAAGTGCGCCTTCGCTCAGGTACACCACATCATAACCTTCACGAAGGTGATGCCAATGGGCTGAACCAGGGTTGAAGAACTTCACCCACTTGAGGTACGTCGCGTTATTGCCTTAATGTACAATTAGCATGCGACCGGCTTCCTTCCTAGCTTGTGGGTGGGTTCCGAGGCTTTTACCGTATTGCGATGGAAGCAACTCTAAGCAGCACATTGGTCGGCGATTCCCATGCAGAGCATCTGCTTTTCCTCCACTCTAATATATAATCTTGCGGCCGTCCAAACTGAAAGACGACGGCCTATTTCTAACAACATTTCCTCCTTTTTTATTTATTGATTGCGTAGCTACGCGATAAGAAGATGGACTTTGTTAAGGTATATTGGCCGGCTTGATTTACTTCATTGGGTTCATAAACAGTTTGGCCATGTAGTCGACGAAGTGGGCAGCCAGGAATGCCCCATCTCGTCTCATATTCCCAAGTTGAGGCGCCCAGCATGGGCTTTTTGGGGATTAACTGAAACGCGATTTTCAGATCTTTGGTCGACACATTGGGTTGGGGTTTCGCTATTTCCGCCGTTTGGTGCTTTGTAGCATAGTACAAAGCATGGAGTCATTCTATGAGACGTTATTGTGCACATGTGTAGTTCTTGCATTCGTCGACTACTGTAATGAATTCCACTATGGAGCATAGTGCGTCTTCTGGACAACTGTTAGAATTTTAGAGGCCGCCGCCAGTTGTGAATGTGCCCGAAGAAAGTGCTATATCTAACTTGGGTGCCTTGTTGTCATTGTGTCATTCTACCTACTTTTAAATGTTTTCGACAAAACTCTACCTATGGAGAATTGTTCGCTCTTAGTATGACGACTCACACCTTTAGCTGGGATTAGGACCCCCTCACTGCTACCACCGTCGGTCTGGTTGGTGGATGATTCCGCTGGCTTTGCAGTTGCGGCCTTAACTGATGAAGCAGCTTCAACCTCTTTTAAAGACCTTAACCTTGACACATTGACAAGTGAGCGAATCCGATCTTTATTTTCACCGATATTTATGCCTAAACTTGAAGGCTGTGGGTTGCAAAACCGAGACGATATTACACTTGTATGCTGTTTCATTTAGCCCAAAATCGCCTCACGAGTATGCTTTATGTGGAGTTGGATGTTGAGGCCTTATGCAATGCAAATGTGCGGCTTTAAGTGTTGCTATTCAAACAGGACTGACACGGTAATTAGCTTGGTGATTAGAAAACGTACTTTAAAATCGTCAAGCCAACTTGTCTCACTGTCGTTGAGAGGATAGGTCACAGTCATTTCATGCAGGTAGGTCGCGTGAAATAGTCGTCGGATGGAATACAGGCAGACCAACTACCAATGCGGTGCACGTGGTTCGTTTACCAGCAACAGGTGGTGAAAGGAGGATTTCAGTTGAGATGCAAAGGAGTTCATCAGCCCCTCTCATTGTCGGTGCATTCGTTAGCTTTGCTCCAACGGGTGAGGATGATGATAACACCAGTTGCAGTTTCACTCCTGTCAAATGTTGAGGCTGATGCTTTGCCATACACGTAGCCGCACTCGAAACAACGGCGTCTCTAATTGCAATTCACTTATTGCTTCACATCCACTGTTGTGAAATTGCGTGACAATAAAGACGGCACGAGTGTGATGGGGACCCGCTGTCACTGTAGTCCCTTGACTTATAATGAAACGGCTTCCGATTTAATGCCTACTTAGCCAAATAATTTCTATAAATGTATAAAAAAATAAGTAAACAGATGAATGTTCATCCGCCTTGCTATGAATGAACAGCGTCTCTGACGGCATTGCCTTCATTGCCATCACTCCCTTCGTCCTTTCAAGTTGGCGATCGTGGCGGAGTGGGGTTTTCCCATGGCCCCGTAAGTTGTACACGTCTTCAACCCCCTATTCCCGCATTTCTACCCCATTTCATCTTCCTCCATCATTGCTGTTTCCTCATACTTCCTTTTCTCTCCCTTGAGTCAAAACTAGTCTTATAAAAAGGGGAGGGTTTTCATGTCTCCTTTGTTATTTTCCCTGATAAAAACCACTTTGTTACTTCTGTCTCCAAGGTCATGATTCAATAGTGATTCTCTTTGAAACAAACGGTTGTTTTTACTTTGTATCTGGACGGGTTCATGTTGGTGGCAGCATATGGATTTCATTTGTTCCGTTGCCTTCTATTTAAAGGATTGGCATAAAAGTTGGCGGTAGACCCCATATTAGCTAATCACATTTCGATGTACAGCTGAACATATGCAGTATCTCGCTAACGTCGACGTAGCATGCAGTGGTAAGTTCTTTGGGTGTTGAATCTGCAAATGTTCCAGGCGATACTCTTCAATCTCCGCGTCTTTTTTCGTTATTCCAACAGCCTTTCTGCTCATAAACGATTTACCTCTCACTCCTTTTGCTTGCTAGTGTAGCGGCCTTGGCACAAATCTTCCGGTACTTTTGGGGCTGAAATATCGTGCCCTTTCTAAAGCACTTTGCAAATATTCTATAAGTTTCTTTACTCAAGCATTCTAGGTGGCAAAATTGGTGCTCTTGGTAAGCCTCCCCTGATTTGTCAATAATTAAATGAATCAACTAAGTAGAAGTGTGCTGCTAATCACAGTAATGCCAAAGCAGTGGCAATCAACAGTGCATAGCCAACCACGCGATCTGAATATCGGTTCACCTCCTCATTTGCCCCGTTTACTTTAGGACGATCATCTTTGAGCGCATCAGGAGGGGCGGAAGCCATGTTGGAGGACAACGTGCTCGTCACAGTGAGAAGTCCTCAAAGTGACTTCATTCATATATCCATGTGTTTTTGAATTCATTTGTCTACCTACCCATTCACCTCCCCATCCCTCTACCACTCATCTCTCCAACCATCCAATTACGTATCAGTCTGTCTATACCTTCAATGATATTTCAATCCCACACACATCCATCCACCTCAAGCAGCAGTGATCGACGCTTCTGTAACAGTACTGGTCATTTGACTGCTGCTGTTGTCCTCTGCCTCTCAGACATTCCAACTCAACCCTGTCAATCCCAATACTCAAAAAACTACCTTCTTTTCATTTGTGGGTGATCGAAGACGCAAAAAGAAATTGTCAAATGTTTGTGCATGTTCAGTTCCTGTGAATCAAACACTTTTCAGGTAAATTTATTACCAGGTCTGACCAGACTTGGAAAAGGCTTTCTTAATGGAGGACACAGTAATTGTTAAGTGACCGTGATGTTGAATGCACAGCAGGTTTCACCACTGAGGTTTGGGCTGTTTTCCCAAAATCCATCTGCCCTGTGTTGCATTATCTAAGTCTAACATTTGGGAAATTGGGGATGGAGGTATTTTAAACTGACTGAATTCAACCATACGGGCTTATTGTAGGACTGACATTGAGCCGCAGGAGGCCTACGAGCCAACCGCGTCAGTGACGCGTATTGTCAGGCTAGTAGTTACTTAATTCCGTCGTCGTAAGTCAAACATTCTGACCAATGGAGACAGTAACACAAACTTGATTGTCACTCCAACTCCTCGCATATTCAACTCTGCAGCGATCTACACGCGAAATCGAGGCTTTCAAACTAAAGTGGACGATAGGATACCTCACACCTACGTGCGCTTTGGGTCGTGCAAGACATCCGTAAGTAGAGCAGCTCGCTTTGAAAGTAATACTAAATTCTTGTTTAAGTAGGGTAAAAACAACCATAGACACAAAGACGCAATTTGTTGCAGCATTTGTTCAAACATGCACTTCCTACTTGACAACAGAACTGCACATTTGATGTGGCGTATCAACGTGACACTCGTAAGACAGCAGATACCGTACTGGAGGAGACTTCTTCGCAAGCGAATGTAATTGCCTACGTAGGTTGTTGGGGATGGGGAGAGACAAAGGGTTGGTGGTGGGCGCTCGTGTTCCTGCACTGTAGAAGGCAAGCGTGCGGTCTAAGTGGAACCATCACAAACGAGTGATCCAGTCAACATCAACAAACTACATCCAAATTTAGCAATGAGCTTACCGCAGGATTTGTTCACTGCTCTTCCCTTGACATACGCGGAAGGATTGAATGTGTGCGAGGTGGAGTCCGACATCACGTCACCACCCCAAAGGACAAACTAAGGAGAGGCGGAAATACAAGCGAGCAGTGGGCAGAAAAGCGTCACAAGCGACAAGGTATGGCGTGCAGGACAGTAAAATAAATCCGAATTTTTGCTCATTTGGATGAATGCAGCACTTTAACCCCCATTCTCAACACTTTGGCCTCATTCACATGTTGGTCCCTGCTTTTGTAGTGGATTCAACGGTGAATCAGTGGAAAATCCACCTCTCCAAACCGCTTGTGCTTTACCATCTCCGTGGTTCGTTCATTACCACATCAACGTGATGTCTGACTTGCCACCTCGCACCCATCCAGACTTACCGCGCCTGTGAAAGGAAAGGAGGGAGAATAGAACGAGAGAATTATCACATTCCATGCACTGATAGTCCGCCCATGGACGAATTCGTGACTTGACTGCTGGCATATTTGGATAGACTGTAAGCAGGATCCAAACAGCTGCGGTCACTCATTTTCAACTCTCATGCTCCTGATGCTATCTACCTGATTATCTTTTCCTCGTTTGTTCCATTGAGAATTGAGTTGCCTCCAAGCCTTCAGGACGAACTGATTAACCCGAAAAAAGGATGATGAAGTTGAAGAAGACATGGATTGCCTTTCAATATACGTGGTGGTGAGAATCAGCAGCCGATGAATGAAACTGGGTACACCTGGGTGGAAATAGAAATTCCATTCCTCACTGCCTTGAGCGGTGAGAGGCGGCAAATAACAAATTGTGGGGCATTTCTCACACTCGGCCGCTGCCCATTCCAACCCATTCATTTCCTTGCTTCGACAACATTGACTGCTTCTTCAAATCACATTTACTAAGAATGAGAAGTGAAAGATATCAAGGAAAAACTAACAAATGAGAGGAGGAGGCAAAGGAATCACTTTGAGCAATTCGATATGGTTTGTGGACTTGCCATTTGCGTCCCAATAAATCAACTGCAATTTCGGTTTTGTTCTGCTTCTTCCGTTTACTTTACTGTTCTCCCTCAAGCTCTTCTACTTGCATTTGCTAGTTTTACGCCTTTATTTACCACGGAATCTCAACCGTTAAAGCAGAAGCGCCAAATGCATAAAATTTGTGACGGTGTCATTTGATGAGGTCACGTTGAGCATGCCGAACATGGAGATGAAGTATGGCCTTAGAATCTACTCTACCCTGGCCCATCCGCGTAGACGTCGGTCCACCGATGCGACCGCCTTCTCCCTGCCATGTCAAATGTCCACTCTCCTTGGCCACTTTCGTTACATGCCATGCAAACGCCTTAAACTAACACTTTCTGCTCACCAAGGCAATTCATATGCGGCAAAAGTGCGTCAATTTTTTCCTCACCTTCAACATCTCCTTGGTGTAATAGTAGTATGGGTGGAGGTGAAGTTTCCTGTCACATTCCACACAGTCTCGACGAAAATGTATACAAATAATGGGAATGCATAAATTATAACGGAAAATTGTCAAACCTAATTTGGCTGACTGGCAGAAACTGGCACATGGGTTGATTACAGGTACACATTTCACTTGTAGAAACGAAGAGATAAATTTTGTTTTACCAGCACAAATGGTTTGCATTTAATTAACCTGATAACAAAAGTGCAATAAGATTTCGACTTTTGGTTGTTTTTTTTGTCAAATTCGTCAGTACCTACCACCTCATGCGTGGCTGTACACTCAGCAGATAGTTGAACTGTGGGAATAAATTCTCTTAGTAGTGTAGAGACGAGAACACGCCCAATTGAGCTAGTACGGACTGAGTACCATGACCTTAAGACGACAATGCGCACCAAGTGCGTAAAATATTTTAGGGCGAGTGGACAGACGTCCATTTCAGCGAAGGACAAATCGAAGGTGATTTCAGGAATGAGTGGTCTTTAGACTGAATGGTGGATGCTATTTCATGGCCTAAGCACTACGCAGTGTCGAAATATCGCCTGGAGTCATGGCATATGTGGATTTTTGCTAAAGCAAGCTATGTTTTGAGGTAATGATAAGGTCGTCATAGGTGAGTCGCGTTGTCCGGCAAACGTTGCCATTACAAAACGACAACAATGGCGTGATTGGTAGCTGTTCACTTTTGCAAGCATTCCATAATTACCAAACTGAACCGCAATTAATGACTTGGACAGTAATTTGGAATGGCGCTTAAGATGTTCTTTCAGTGCTGTAGCGCCGTGTTTTCCCAAGAGGTATTAGTTTCACCAGCATTTCCATAATTCTTCTGATGTCATTTTATCTTTTCTTCCAGCATTGCTTCAAACTGTGGCCACAGCGAGAGTGCTGCAATCACTTAAATGGCAGTGGTCATTTGAATCGGCTTTTGTGCAAAACACTCTTACATCAGTTGGAGAACGTGTCCACGGTTTAGAGGGAAAAACCTCAGTGTGTACCGCACCACCGAACGGGTAGTGTTGTTGACTTTCCCCACTGCTAGAGCAGTGTCTGTGAGAGTGTGCCTGTGATGTGCAAATGCGTAGGCAGCTTCTAGTGACACTGGTGGAGAAGACGATTTACGTCGGGTGAAATGTCAATTAAAATTAATGATTCTATCTTTAAAATGTGATTTGCGGTACCATTTGTGAATTAGCTGTGATTTGCGTAGGTGTGGGCTGACATTCAAATCTCCACCAGAATCACAAGTTGATGGAATGACTGTGATAAAATATTCGTTGGTAAAAGGGGGTACTGTTGCATTTTCTTAATACGCTTAGATGAAAGTAAATTTCACCAGCTAAATATCCTGGAGTCAATTGCCTGTATGACGCGGCAAATAATTCAGCCTCGCGATTGCAGGGTCTCTTTTACTGTCACTGCGCTTTGTTCTCAATCTAGACTGCTTCGTTAATCTCCTGCCTCAATTAAGGAGGGTTTTATGCGGGAATGTTTTACTGTATCTGCAGCAAACACTCGAGAGTCCACAATTTGGACATTTCTTTCTCCGGCATTTTGTTTGAAATTGAATAAACGACTACGCATAATACAATCCTTAGGAAATATGGGTAACAGTACGAAGGACCCACTCATAAAGGTCACTGCAATCCGTAGTGGAGAAATACATGCTCTTTAAATATGTGGTACGATGCAGACATACATCCGTATAGTCGGCCCATAATAAAAGAATTTCGGTATTTTGCCATTTAAGCATATCTATTACCCGAATTGTGAGTGCCCAAAAGATTCATGCCAACTTGGCGTTGTGATTGCATAGTTGATGCTTGGCCGTGCCGTATTTTCTTCAAGAAGTTGGGCATTGCGCAATCTGTGTGAGTCGTGGAAAGACCGGTTTCACAGTCCGAATGAGGATAGCCTCAAGGTATACCAGCCTCGCACGGTACCGTTGTAATTCGCCTTCTTCTGTAGCGCCTGCCTTCGATGGGAAGGTGAATGCGCTTTCGCCTGCACCACAGTCGTACAACCAGTTGCACATCTTTGCACCGAACTCGCACCGGCAAATATGTGAATTTGGATGGGTGAGCTCTCGTAACTGCACCATCAGCTTGGAACTTACCTCTTGGCATTTGTTGTGCATCGAGACTAAACAGTCGAGCAGTTGAATACATGAGATCTCTCATTCTCAGCTCTAGATGCGCAGAACACGCTTCATTGTTCATGAGCAGGCGTTTTGCTGGGAATCACTGCTGTTGCCTCTGTTCATTCATTCCCATTCACAACTTCTTGCATTTGATAAGAGCCATTTTTGCCACCCCTTTGACTGCACTTTGCTTGAAATGACATTTGATTCCAGTCATGCTAATAATATCTGACAATTACTGGTAGCTGTGTAAAGTATCGCCTTTGTAGGTGTCACCATCTTCCTTCCTGTAGAAAGTGTTATTGTAAAAAAATGTCGTAAAAAGTAAGAATACGTTGAAAAAGGAAGTGCTCTCAAAATAGCGCTAAAAGCATTGGCATCAGAAGACCAGATGGTCATGCGTGTGCAACCGAAGGTCCTCTTATTCACAGTTGTGAAGGCATATATCGTTCCTTTTTCATTGGCAGGTGTCATGCTGACAGTCACTGCTGTGCTCATTTCGTTACCTCTTTCTCAGGTTCAGTTTCATTCCATTATTTCCACTTTTTGTCTTTCCGGCTGTCACACATTCTACACAGCTAGGATTTGGCAAGAGGCCTTCTTTTCTAAGTGAAGCACTAATAACATCATCCTTAT